TATATATATATATATATATATATATATATATATATATATATATATATCTTTGTATAATGGACTATAACATTTTAAAACATTGTTTTAATATGATATCAATCAGCTTTTGTCCTGGTCCTCCTCTGAATATCCATTAGCTTGTCATTTGAGTCAGATTGAAAGTATTTTCCTACAAACTGATGTTGATCAGCGAGTTGTTTACAAGTGAGATGTTTATTTCCAAAAAAATCCCACTTTAATAAATCAAAGCCATAACCTAAGAGACTGTACAAGATGTGATGACAATATTAATTCAAATAATGTGATATTCTGACTGTGACAAAAAAAAGGTGAATTGTGCTCCTGGTTACATCTTTTCTTTCTCTTTCATAAAGCAACGTTAGAGGAGCAGCATGTAGGATTCATTCATTCGTAAGACAATGCTGCAGACTGTTGCAGCTTGTTTTGTCTCTTCTCATGTTACTGTGGTAACTTGATTATTATTAGGTTGCCTCGAAGCCGTGAAAACACAACGATCCGTATCGTTCCACATTTCTACACAAATTAAAACATTGTTAGAAACATTATGGCACATTTTTGCAAACAGATGTTACTAGATGTTCCATGCTAGAACTTTAGAGCAAACATTTAGTACTTTAAAAAACATTCTTGTTTGATTTATGGCAGGGAATTAGTAAAAAATATAAAAAAAAATACATTTTTTTCTTGGCTGGGATGTATAACTTAAACTATTTGCAGGCTGTGTCATGGATCAGAGGAAAGAACAAATTGGTAATTTATGATTTGGGGATATTTCAACAAAATTATTTGATTTGATTTGCCAGTAACTTTTCAGAAATGAAAAAGAAAGACAAATCTTACTCTGCCACACGCTTTAGTGCAAACTGGAAAAACTGTGAGCTTCACTGTGGTAATATTAATTGTCTAACTATGTAAGCAATTTAATTTACTTTTTCCGTCATATTTTGAAAAATTTCTAATAACTCAACACTCTAACAGCACAATTTCATTCCACCACATGTACCACATGTGGTGCGTATGACAAATAAAGAAACTTTGAGTTTGACCTTTGACTTTGACAACTCATGCTGCAAACTATTTGGGAATTGTCTGAATGATACATACACAATCAAATTATTTATGTAAGTAAATAAAAGTATGATATTCAGACAGATTTATACCGTATTGTGTAATAGTTTTAAACCACACCAAGACAGCTGTAATTTTCTAAATTGGTTTTGATCAGGAAATCTAAAGTTTTTTTTTCAGATTGTTCTTTGAACATTTTTCACATATTTTCAGTCCCATTCTTGCACTTGAAGCTAACAGTATATTTTGCAGTGTTTTTATAAATTAGAAAAGTGGACAACTGGAGGACAAAAAGGTTTTATATCTAAAAATCTACTGTCAGCAGATGAACAGTTTTTAAGAAACAGGAGTAGAAAGACTTCAGAGGATCTGAGAGATGGTGCTTCATTAGATGGTCATCTTCCGTATGTCAAGGTTTCAGAGGTTGACTGAGGCGCAGTGGTAAGGCAGCTGTTTTTGCAACGGAAACTTGTAGGTTCAATTCCCTGCTATACCCACATGATTTGGTGTCCTTGAGCAGAGGTCCAATTCCTTAACTGCTCCCTGGGCAGCCTAAAAACCTGCAATATATGTGTGTTTCTCCCATGGGTGATGAGTTGTCATCATTGTATGGGCACATACAATGATGACAACACATAGCTCTTTCAGTTATTAGCTCTCTGAGAATCACATTTGTCATTGCTAAAGTATTATTTTAAATGTGTTAAACTCGGCGGCACTGTGGCTCAGTTGGTAGAGCTGTTGCCTCTTAGCGAGATGGTCGCTGGATCAAATTCCGGCCAAGGTCCTTTCTGGTTGAAGTTTGCATGTTTTCTCCGTGGGTTTTGGTTGGTCGACCACTCCTGGGGAGGGTAACAATGGTCTTGAATTTCCTCCATTTGTACACAATCTGTTCTGTCGGTGGATTGGTGGAGTCCAAACTCTTTAGAGATGGTTTTGTGACCTTTTCCAGCCTGATGAGCATCAACAATTCTTTATCTGAAGTTCTCAGAAATCTACTTTGTTTGTGCCATGATACACTTCTACAAATGTTGTGAAAAGCAGACTTTGATAAACCTCTGTTCTATAAATCAAACAGGGTGCCCACTCACACTTGATCATCATCCTATACTTTGAAAACGCCTGACTTTAATTTCACCGTTAAATTCACTGCTAATTTTTTTTTTCTACTCTGGCTCTCGCTCAAGGCGGACGCTCCTGCTCTCCCTCCCCCTGTTCTCCTTCCTCCTGCTTTGCTCTCTGTGTGTTTGAAGCTCCTGGTACACATCTCCCGAATGAAAAATACAATTATGGATTTGGCGAGCTGGACTTTCAACGCAATCGACAAAATCTTTTCAACAAAACAACAGGGTCCTGGAGAACCCTCTTGTCCGGCTGAGACTCACGCTGCGGGGTATGTCAGAGATCCATGGGGAGTTTTGCAACTGATGTGCCTCTCAGTCCTGTCTCAGGAGTACGCTGAAGATGTTTATATACTTTGTATTTGGATTAATGATAGCAGGGGTTCTGCTCTTTGGCATCGGTGGGGCTCTGTTTTTATCAACTTTTGAAGAAGAGTTCGGCAGCAGTTTCATCCATGGCAAAGCTTCCGAGTCTGTGTGAAGGTTTAGTTTGTGCTATAAAGACTCAAAATCAGCTGATTTACGAGCTAAACCGTAAGATGGAGGCGTTTTGTGAGAATTGCAGGCCACCAGCGGCTCCTAGAACTTGTCGGCTTGATTTTGATTCTAATCCTAGAGGTTTACATACCACTCACAAATATGCAATATTGGATACTTTTCCTCAAGAAATAAATGACCAAGTATAATATTTTAGTCTCATTTGTTTATCTGGGTTCTCTTTATCTACTTTTAGGACTTGTGTGAATTTCTGATGATGTTTTAGGTCATATTTATGCAGAAATATAGAAAATTCTAAAGGGTTCACAAACTTTCAAGCACCACTGTAGCTTGTCATAAAGTCAGTCATAGTTTAACAACACCAACATTACTTTTAAAATGTACAGGTACTGGACTGAAAAACAATGAAACAGCAACAACAACAAAAAAAAAATAAAAAAAATAAAATAAAATCTCTGAATGACATTCCAAAAAAATATTAAGATATATTTATCAAAATTAATTTAAAAGATTTTAAGAAAGTTTGGCTTCTTGGAAGCAAAATATCATAAAATGAAGGATGACTGTATACTTTTATAGACAGACAGATAGATGCACATGTTTCACCTCTGTCATGGCCTCTTCAAGCTGTTTAAGTTCCTCGTAGTGATCACGGGAGTCTCTCAAAGGTTGAACCATAATCTCTTCAATCTGAGGGAACAGCTACCCAAAACCACATGTGTTAACAAAATAACTTTTTGTGGCACATGTTTGTTAAAGCATTATTACCTTCATGACAGTCTCAAACATTGGGATGAGGACAAACTTGATGAATCCAATCTGAGCAGTGGGTTTGGTAACTTTATCTCTGTCCATGAAGGGAGCCACAGGGAGGCCCTCAGATTTCTCCCTGTCACTCTTTAAACCAACACAGTGGAAGCCTTATTATTTTGCTTTTAAATAGATCTATTTTTATCATGACAACTTTTGGGTAAAAGAACAGTTTGAATGGACTCACCTGCATGAAGTACTCTTCCAATAAGCAGTCCACCCACGGCTCAGCAACCTCTGTTGGCCTCACCTCATTAGAAATATCACAGCACTTGATTAGAACCCTCTTGAGCTGAGAATAGAAATGTAAAAATGTGCACACACATATAATACATGGTCATCAATATAAAATGAAATAAACAGTTGATGGGGTTGATTTTGTAAGATGCTTACGTACACATGTCACATGTTCCTCACTGGTAAAGTCAAAGTTGTCCAGTTTTTGTTTAAAACATTCCAGTATCTCACTGTGTCTGGCCATGTCAGTGGCTAGTATGAGGGTGATAATTGCCTGGCAACATAAAAGCAGAAGACAAAATCTACCTGACTTTTTTCTTGCAAATCCTATAATCAAAAGAGGAGTATGTCATGTCAAGTCAATTATAGACGTTCTGGACTTTCAATCTGCATGATCAGGAAATCTCAAATAAAGCCAGAGAGAAGTTACAGGGTTAAAGGTTTTGTGACTCAAAAGAGGCACTTAAAAATGGTCTAAAGTTATAGTTTGCGTAATATGAGAATTGTCATGGCATAAATAAAGCACAGTTTAAGAAATAAGTCAAACTGGAAATACTCAAATAGTAAATTGTGTATTTATTATTATGAATACATCGTGGGGGAATATTCTGCACTGTTGATCCACAAGGGATGAATATGGGGAAAGAAACTATATTCTGTACTTCTATAAACTGGCTAATTTGATGTAAAATGCCATTACTTATCACAAAAATGATCTGTATATTACTTGTCTGATCTTTTTGAATGCTTCCGGATCCACGTTTGCAAAGATGTTGCACTCAGGAAGGGAAATGATCTGGAAGGCCACAGCACAGTGATGGTTCTCCAGCGGAGACATGTCGTTGTAGCGCACTGCCAGTTCTGTACGAGCATTGATTTGGTACCTGATAAATAGGCGACATTGTTAAACGGACTGATTTAAGATGATCGGATAGTAAATTCTTACGAAGCCTCCCAGATAAGGGAGGTTTTCACCTGTGTGAAACCCACAGTACAAACAACCATTATCTCAGTCAGCATGTTTTCATACCTGAGATCTCTCCAAGCTGAACTCGTTTCACAGTTCATCAAGAACAGTGTTGTGTAAGGGCTTTCAAAGCATAGCAGGGGGTCAGTGGGATCGTTAACGGATAGAAGGGAATCTTACGTGTTGTTATAGCCGGGGTGGTCCAGGTCATGACACACTGCAGCTGTCATTAGGATTCCCAAATCTGTGAGAGACAGCTTCTCCTGGAAAGTACAGCAAAGGTGAAGAGATGGTGACGAACAACTCCTCATTTTGAATTTTACAGGCTGCACATCGAAAAAAACATTTTAGTATTTTAAAACAATCAATCAGATTTGCGTTCCAATTACACAAAGGGTAGTACAGTAGTCCCTCGATACTTTGCGGTTTGACATTTGCAGACTCGCTCTTTCGCGGTTTTTCAACGATTGTCAACTTTAAGATCACTCACATGATTGGGACGTTATTCTGACAGATGCTGCCATTTTGTAGTTTTCTTTCAAAACGTTTACACTAACGCCAGTCAAAAACAACTACGCTACCCAGAAGTCAACAGTGCTTCCGGTCACTGCTTTCTGCCGAAATGGAGGGAAAGTTTTGATTTGATCCGAACCGGACTAAAAAATTTGATCCTTATTCATAGTGACTTGGGCGCTCAGTGGGTGCATAGAGAGCTGATCAGAACCAACCGGGAATTGGACCAGGACTACTTCCAGCCTCAGCGGTCAATCTGAGTGCCCGTGAAGCCTCTTGAGCGGGGAGGCGTTGCTTGGAGGTCCGGTGTCTTCTCCGGAGCTCACCCGGACTTTTTTCATCTGGATTCCTCTGGATTTTTTGGACTAGATCAGAACCATTGTGAGGTTTTGTGCTGGCTCTTCAATGGTCCGGCTCTCTCCAAAAACATCTGGTGCTCAACGACTGCAGAGAGCCAATTAGAACCAGACCAGAACCGGACCAAGGCTGGTGAGTACCTATTTAAATTTTTGCAGTAGCTACTGTACAGTACATATACGTATGTTGTTAAATTACGTAGGTTTAAGAGTTTAGAGCAGGGGTGCCCAACCTTTTTTGAACCAAGAGCTACTTTTGAAGTCGGCAATTTGCCGAGAGCTACTCGTCCAGTCTCATTATCAACAAACATAATTTTTCATCAATCCCTACTCCTCACTTCTTTAAAGTAAATAAAACAGAACGTGATGTGTCTATAGGAGACAACTTTTTATGCAAGCTGTATAAAATAAATGTGTCTCTACCTTAGTGGGACTTCTGACACTGAGAGGAGGAGGCCAGGGTCTCATAAGCTGGGCAGGATGAGGTGGTTGCGAGGCACAGGCAGGTCTCCAGATGATCATCATTCATTGTGGATCTGTTTTTGGACTTGATGATTTTCATGTGTGAAAAAGCAGACTCACACAGGTAGGTAGATCCAAAAAGTGCTGTTAAGTTCAAAGCACATCTTCGGATGTTAGGATACTTTTCTTCTGACAGCAGACTCCAGAACTCTCCATCCACGCCAGGTGATGCTCTGGATTTGATCCCAATGTCATTTTGCAGAGTGCAACAAATCCACTGGTGTGACCAGTCATTGCTGGAGCGCCATCAGTTGTTATAGAAATTAGTTTAAAGAGGGGCAAGTTGCTTTTATTAACAAACTCCATAAACGCATTAAAAATATCTTCTCCTCTTGTATGTCCCTTCAAAGGCAAGATGGTGAGCAGCTCCTCTTTTGCACTCATGTCTGCAAAGGCCATTCTGATAAAAACACACAGCTGGGCTACATCCACCATGTCTGTCGACTCATCAAACTGAAGAGAGAAACACTCACATTGTTCCACGTCCTTTTTTAGCTGCTCCTCCACATCCACAGCCATTCCCTCACATCGCCGTGTCACTGTTTGTCTGGACAACTGCACGTCTTTAATAGCAGCTACGATCTCACTTTTATTTTTAAAATCATGAAAAAGCGCATCTGCAGCCTCAATAAACGCTTCTTTCATAAATGGTCCATCGCTGAAAGACTTCTTATGTTGAGCCAGGATGCGGCTAACACGGTAGGAAGCTATCGTAGCAGCTTTACCTTTTCTGCTGGGCCGAGTGAAGACTGATTGCTGGGCTGCAAGCTTGTTTTTAGCTCCCGCACTTTCTGAGTCCGTAAAGAACTTTTAAGAGGGAAATCTGTCTCAAACCGTTTGTGCATCGTCTTGAAATGCCGCTCCAAGTTACACTTTTTGGGTAAGGCAACGCTCGAATTACAGATGAGGCAAATGGACTTCGAATTAGAATAAACAAAAAAATACTCCTCCTCCCACTCTGTGCGAAAATAATAAGTTTTCGTTTGTTTGTTCGCTAGTTTTCTATCCATGTTTTCTGCGCACCGACATTACTCCACTACTGAGCCTCAAGTCTCGTGAGAGCTGTGTCACCGCACACAAAACTCGCGAGACTATGTCTGTGAGAATACAAGTCAAGGTTTCGCTTCGCGGGAGACTGGGAACCAGCGAGCGACTGGTTGGGCACACCTGGTTTAGAGCATTGCAAGAGTGTGGGAAGGGTTTATAAAGCCTTAAAATACTTTATGTATAAATACTAAAATAGCTATAGCGTTCCTACTTTGCGATTTTTCACTTATTACGGGGAGTTGTGGAAGGTAACCCCCGCGATAATTAAGGGACTTCTGTAATCACATTAAGCACTAAACTTAATAGCCAACTTGTCGTACCTGTAAGTTGCAGAGGTGAATCATGCCATACATCATTTGACTAACACAGAAGCAGTGGCGAAAGTTGTGGAAAGGGTTGTTGCGGTAGTTCTCCTGAATTGCCAACTAGAAGACAGATAATTGTTCATTCAGCACACTGATACAAATTTCTCTATCTCAAATCTCCAACTCTCATCCTAGCTGAATGCTTGTTTTTATTTGTTCAAATCATCTCCATTTGCACAGCAACCCTCTAAATCTGACTAAAACACCCAGAGCTGTCCCTTTTGTGGCATCCTTACCAGCCAGTGCTTCAGTGTGATGGGGTTCATGTTAAATTCCTTTACTAGTCCCAAGTCATGGTACATGAACTCCAGACAACTCAGCATCTGCAAACGTTAAGAAAGAGTAACAAAAGCCAGACAACTGTCCTTTTGCTAACATGGAGTAGACATGTTTGATGGAGATCAACAAACCTCATTATGTTCCCAGTGCCAAACATCAAATGTTGGCTTCTTCAGTGCCTCAATAGTTTCCCGGGAAAGTGTGTACTGTACACGACAGATTTATAAAGTCAACAGAACATTTGAACAGTCTACACATTCTTGACGACGACAGAGTTTATGACAGAGGTGCATACCTTTGGGTAGCTGGGGATGTCTCGTCTAGGAGTGACCTTCTTCCCGTCATCTGAGAAACTGTATTTGCATGAACAGTTTAACCTTGAATCATAATGACACATTTACTTTTGTTTTATGCATTGGATGTATGATAGATTTAAAACTTTTTATGACCAGCTTGGTTTTACCTGCCACTACCTCTTGAAGTCATCTCATCTCGAAGCTTCCTCAGATCATTTTTACACTTTTCTATTTCCACAACCCTTAAGCCTTCCACTGAAACAAGACAAGTAATACTGACTGAAGGAACATGTTGCATGTTGCCTAGACTGTTCCAAGGAAATTTGATAGACATTAAAGTGAAGTTTTCTGTTGTTACACATAAACTGCACCACTTACTTTCAACTCTCTTCTCCAACATTGCCAGTCTGTTGGTGAGCTCAGTCTTCAACTCAGTGATGTGAAATGCTCTGTGAAAAAGACAAATCAAAGGACTGAAGCTGGATTACGAGTGACTGAACTGTTCTTTATGGGTTAAAAACAAAATATACTGGTGTAAAGTGAATGTCCATGGAATCTGTGAATGTGGGAAGGGAAAGTTTCCATCACATTATGAGATGGTGTTACCTGTTGAACTGCTCAGCCACCTGGGACAGCACAGTGTGAAACATGTCCTCCTTCTCTGCAGGTGTAAATGCATACTTGAAGAATCAGCATGAACCAAATGTATACTGTTAGGTTCTATTTCAAGAAAGATACTTAAGAAAGTTTACCTTCAACCTGACCAGTAGACAATGGGACAACTTTGTATAAATTACTGTTAAGGAACAGAATGCAAGTAAAGATTAGTAAAAGTTGCTGCATGCACTCTTTTCTTTTCATTTTTGCAAGCCCTATCACACATGTCAAACTCAAGGCCCGCAGAACAGATGTGGCCCGCTACGTCATTTTATGTGGCCCGTGAGAGCTTAAACGGTCTGATTGTCATATAATAAATAAATCAAAAGGGTGCGCTGACAACAAACTACATTTCCCATAATGCATGCCCATTATGTTACCCGCGAAGTAACAGCATTTTGACACCAAAAACGGAGCTAAGTATTCTCAAGTGAGCCTTCAACCTTAATGTTGTTATTTTGAGTTTATTAGTATTTTATGTTAAATTTGCAGCAATGTATTTGGAATTGCAGGTTCATTTGTTTATGCAGGTAAATGTTTTCTATATTAATATAATATCTCATTAGTTTGATGTATGACCCTTGCCAGGCTGTGTGCAGCCATTAGTTTTTTGTAAAATGCTTCACTTGTCACACATTTTCTCAGCAGCTCACAATTGTTGGTTGGACCGTTCTGTCCCTCTTAACTATGACAAAAAAGTTTTGAACAAAGTTAATGTCATAACTTATTATTTTTTCTTATTCACTTGGAAAATTTGATCACTGATTTATGGAGTAGTGTGGGTTTCATAACCTGAAGTTATAACAGAGCAACAAGCAAACAAATTTTTCTACATCTATGCAAATATATATATACAAATATATATATATATTATGTAATATTTGTAAGTTGAATAAGTAAAAAAATCTGTTGTTTAACATTAAGGGGTAGTTGTGTTTATTTTACATTACATTTAGTTAAATTTAGCTTCATTTATACTGTCTTTACAGTTACATCTGGCCCTTTGAGGGCAACCATTATGCTGATGTGGCCCTCGGTGGAAATGAGTTTGACACCCCTGCTGTATATCATCAGCTTTATGTTTACAGTAAATAAAGAGCTGCTAAAAGCATTTGCTTTGCTTAAGGTCAGAATGAAATTGCATTCTGAGCTTTGGATAACATTAGACAAAATCTTTTCACAAAAACATTTTCAGTCTGGGTCTGAAATCCATCCCTAAGCTGCCTGTCTGATGTGCGTTCACTCCCGTTCAGCACCGCCATGGAAATCCATCAGTTCTCTGATCTGTCTCTTTCATGCACAAAAATGGTTTAGTCTTCTCCCATGAGTTATTTGACTATCTTTATGTTTTATTTGACTATCCTTATCATTTTTGCTGGAACGGTCATAATGATGACTGTATTTTCCAACAGCCTCAGCCAGCAGCTCCTCAGCAGAGCAGTCATAAAATCAGCTTAATTCTGCCACTTTTCAAAAACAAACACGCCCACAAATTTCTGACGAATCTCTAAATGTTAGACACACCCTGTAAAAAATTACTTTCTGACTGGGGGTAAAACATAAAAAAAGGTTCTCAGCTGGGGGTGCAAGTAGAAAAATATGCAATTTTTGTCACACACCCATGTCAGAAAAACACTACTTTGGCACTTCTTATAAATTATAAACCAGGCTTTGTGCTTTTGAGCCGACAGGAAAGGTAGTTACAGAGCTGAGTTGGTGTTTATACAAATGAACAAGACATTTCACAATCAGCAAGTGACAGCAGCACCAAGGGGAGCACTAAAGGAGCACTTCAGGCTCTGACCCAGACCTCATATCTACTCATGAGTCATTGCAGAACGTCACTGCCTTTATTTGTGCATTTGAAAACGACCAGAAGCCTCTGAAAGAACTGTCCCATTTTGGCAGAACATTTTGTGGAATGATAAATGTCATTTCACCATTTCTCCTATTAACTATTCCTACACTAACGTAATGTACATTCATGCCAAGAGTTTCTCGGCAATTTTTGTGATATATGAAGAAGGCCAACTGGTACATGCATAAATCTACACCAGTGAATGCCCTGTATTGTCCTTTGACTGGCTGCTCCCTTCGTCACGGGTTGCCACAGCGAGCAAACTTGCACAAAAGATTTGGCAATTATTTTACACCGAATGCCCTTCCTGACACAACCTGGGCTCAAACCAGCAACCTCTGGATTACAAGACCACAGCACTGACCCCCAAACTACTGAAGGTTAATCCCATTAACAAACAGAAAAAAGAGACTTATATCAACGACTGTAGAAAGTTAGTTAGCATGACATAGAATAATAAGGCTGTCTAAACCCCTGTCCATCTCTTGGTGAAAGCAAATGACAAAAACTGATGACATATAGATGGACAATAAAGGAGTGTTACATTTCAGAGAAATTTCTGAACCACTACCCCTCGTTACTTTGAATTAGGGGCAAGAGGGCACTCAAAATGTATGTGTCATGATAACACAAGGACGATGGAATTCACATTAGTTTAGGTCAAGAAAAAGTAAATGGATTTAACACAGTTTTGAACCTACTTTGGAGAATTGGTGGGCATTGTGGGATCAATGGAAACCATGGCACCTTCTGGATCCACAACCATGATGGCAGTGTTTCTGCAGTAGAAGGATAAGAAAAAATAATACAAGTTTTTATGCCTATTTTGTTTGACATTTCACACAAAACGGCAAAAGTGATGAGTTACCCTTCAAATTACGTTTAATCATTTCACACTCTTGCATATTACTTTATTATTATGGTTACTAAATACTTTATACCAGCTATATAATTTTATAATTTCTACAAAACAAGCTACTTTCAGTTATATTATTGGTTGTGATTTAGAGATAACAAAAGGAACAAAACCAACTAAAGGAACAATCTATTAACTTTGTTTCCAACGTAAGACATGCACTAACAAAGTCTTGCTTTTCTCGTTCGTTCTTGTTAGTTGCTTAGACTTGGGTGATTAATACAGCGTGTCCTTTTGATCGCTGCCTTTGTTCGTTTGTCAGTTGCAGAACAGGTTTTACATTCATTGTCACTCAGCTGTATAACACTTTGTATACAAATGTGACCTTAGACATATTGTTAAACCAAGAAACTGACCTGGGAATGTTAGACGATGAACAAAGAAGCTCCCTGATGTCACATGACCTACAGTGCCGGCTGAACACCACCTGCAATGTAAACATGTCTTTTTAAAATCAAATTTAAAATTTTGATAGAGGTAAGTAAAAAAGATAAATTTCGTATACCCATACGTACACCTATTTCCCCCCACCCCTGAACATAGGAGGATCTGCGGTGGAAGTGGCCTCCAGCTACAAGAACTTAGGTGTACACATGAATGACAACCTCAGCTGGAGCAACAACACCACCAGCCTGATCAAGAAAGCTCATCAGAGACTCTACTTCCTCAGACAGCTGAGGCGAGCTGGTCTGGGAAGCTCAGTCCTCACCTCCTTCTACAGGTGTGCAGTGGAGAGCATCCTGTGCTCCAGCATCAATGTGTGGCATGGAGGCTGCACAGCTGCAGACAGAAAAGCTTTGCAGAGAGTGGTGAAGGTTGCACAGCAGTCTATTGGAGTCAGCCTCCCCACCATCACATACATCTTCATCTCCAGATGCAGGAAGAGGGCCACCTGCATCATGAAGGACCCCACTCACCCAGCACACACACCTTTTGCCCTGCTCCCCTCGAGCAGAATGTTGAGGAGCTTTAAGTGCAGAACAACTAGACTGAGGAACAGCTTCTACCCTGAAGCTGTTAGACTCATGAATATCTAACCAGGATTATCACTGTGGAAAAAAAAATCACTGTAATGCCACTTTGATAATATGTGATGCTGACTAGCCATGCTGCTGATGTCAAGCTACTGATTTATTTCATGCTGCTGTATTCATTCATTCATCCTCATCTGCTCACACAGACTCATGTTCGTGCTGCTGTTATTCGGCGTATTGTTTTTGTACTATTGGTGCTTAGCGCATTCTTAGTTTAGTGTATTTCTTAGGTCATAGATCTTATTACTGTTTTTCTTTTACAATTTATACATTTTTTTTTGGATGTAACTGGGACCCTGTGTACACAATTTCGTTCCACCACATGTACCACATATGATGTGAATGACAATAAAGAAACCTTGACCTCGACCATGATCTATGCATGTGTTCTTACTGAGTTTGTAGATTCTTACAAATACTTGGCAATTTTGGTTGATGCACATGCAAAACTTGATAAAAAAAAAAACTTAAATTAAAACAGAGTTTTTTTCTCAGCAATAGCTCTTGCTTAACTCTGAATGCCAGAAAACACTTTGTAACCACTACCTTCCTACCACTACCTTCCTGTAATTGCATTTTTATTGTACTTTATTGTTGTCTTTATATGTTGGCTGTCTAAAACAGGTCTCTCTTGTAAATGAGTCCTCGCGGCTCAATGAGGCTAGCCTGTATAAATAAAGGTTGAATGAATGAATGAATGCAATCAAATTCAAAATTACCTCAAATATGGGTTTGCAAACCATTGCACTCAGTTGTTTTTACATTCTAAACAACTGCCCAGCTTTTTTCAAAATCGGGGTTGCATAAAATATAAATTAGATCATTTCATGCTGGAATACAGAAAATTCAACAACAAAATTGCATCATGGGAACAAGTTGACAGGAAATAACAGCTGCGGTTTGAAATTTCCTGAAGCGCCTAAAGATGTCAAGTGTAAACAAATCATCCCAGTTTATAAGACTTAGCGCAGCAAATGTCAAGCATGCAATCTGAGGAATGTGCAACGATATATTAGCTGAGATTTGGGAGAGCAGACAGAAAATCAACCCCAGGTCGTGGGCTCAAGGCTCTTATAAAGACATGTCATTTCCAGATCTCCACCAAAAGCCCTTTACATCAACAGATCCGCAAGTGTTCTGCAAATCGTTTGGACCTGAGACACATGGAACTTGAGCCTGGAACCATCTGTTGCAACTGTTCATACTATGGGAGAAGCTGTTCCCCGGCCTTCGCTGTGAGGCTAAAAAATATTGCAAGCAAGAATCTTTATTTTTGATTTCCACATTTATGTTTGCATGCACTTTACGATGATTAATATTGATATAAATATTATTATCATTTGAGTATTCCAGAGATAAAAACATGCTGAAAATAAAGCTGGAGCATGAACACATTGCCCCCCAGTGTTTTGTCGATAGCAACTGTAAGGAAAACTATTCAGCATCATTATGGTCTAATATTAGCCCATCATCAGCTCAATGAAATCCAAATGGAATAGCTGCTCCTGAAGTCCAGTAGCTGAACTATGAACTGAATATTATAAATATTGTATTTAGTCATGGTTACTTTTACAACAAATTGTTTTTTTCCAGGAAAAAAACAAAACAAAACACTTGAGAAGTTTTCTGAAATGCAACCAGAATGTGAATTTGTAATTTGTTAACTTGTCTTCATCTTTAACAAACAAAAATGCAACAAAAATAATGCCAATATTATTAATGTAGAGGCTAACTTTAACAAAATGTGAACAGAATTTATTGTTTATTATCAGCAATTCGCTCATAATAATGATGGAACAAAGGCAAATAAGAGAAACATGATTAAATAATACATAAGTACAACTGTTGGGAAGAATCTATAATCACCAGGTCTCTGACAGGTTTGGATGAAAAAAAAAAAAAGACTCACATCTTTTTGAATAAACAAACAAATAAATGAATAGATAAATAAATAAATAAATAAATAAATAAATAAATAAATAAATAAATAAAGTCCAAAAAATACATTATTGATAAATAAACAAAATGAAACTTTCATGCAGAAAAGCAAAGAAGTTGCATTTGCAAAACTAAATTTCTGAACAACAACAAAAAAAGATTGAACAAGTTTGGGGAAGTTTCATTTGGGAGTATCTAGAAAAAACATTGTCGTACGATAGAGTCCACCATTATATTAATTAATATAATAATACAGAAAGTAGGAAGCCATGTCAGACAAGTTATGTTTTAACTTTTACCTGAGAAAAATACTTGCCACAGTTTATAGAGCAAATATGGAAAACCCACGTGAGCTGCTGTTTTTATTTTAAATAGCTAACATTATTTATGCTGTCCAGTAAGATCATTAACTGATCAACAACTGCTAAGTTGGTTATCTTTTGCAAAGAAATGGACACAATAAATAGTAAAATAGTAAAATAGTCATAATTATAATTGATTACTATGAAATAAAATGATGCATTTTAGGCCTATCTTAATGTTTTTGTTTGTATATATGTAGTTGGCACCTAACTCTAAATTTGTTTAGATTTTTTGAATACGATGTTAATCAGAAAAAAAACGACAACACTTTTCTTTGAGTTTGGTAAATAAACAACAACACCAAAAAAAGATTATTTGTAAAATATGATAAAACATTACATCCTAATCTTTTTATTCCATTAAACCCGATCCATATATCATCTATCATCATCAGGGCAATAACAAAACCATGTAAACACGAGTTAGCTGATGAGATTTATATTTATACATTTTAATTTAGTAATTGGACTCACCTTTTGGACCTTCCCATCAACATCCAGATAAATGTTTCTGGGAGCATAAGAGGAGGAGCTGGAGCCCATGTTGATCGTCCTCCCCTTTCTTCTGCATCTACAAAGAACCTTCCTCAGAACCCGGATTATTATACCCCAGGAGCCTTAGTCTGAAATCTGCTGTTAAACAAACAAGACAATTATTTATGCAGGCATTTTTAATAATATGTCTAAAAATTAAAACAAAAATAACATGAGGATAAATAAAGCAGTAACTGTTGAGACTATTTCTGGTTGTAAAAAAGGAAATTGTCAGAATATTGAATTTCAAATGCAAACCAATCAAATGTAAACATAAAGTTGCACAAATGTAATATATGTAACAGGATGTCATTCTTCATGATGCTCAACCAGTATCTAGAACATCAAGCTTCCCAACATAAACCTACGATACAAAAGAAGAGCTTGTATATGTGACAGCTAAGAAAACATTCAGATATTTAAAAAGCATCGGGACGTGTTGAACTCACAACGTCAGCGGTGCATCTCTTCCTGGAAGAAGACGAGTTATGTCCCAGGTGCTGAGGACTCAGCTTCCTCACATGTAAACACAAACAAACTGAAGCTACGAAGAGGAGGAGGAGGAAGGTGCAGCTGTGAGGGATGGTTGATGTGAGGGCAGAGAATAAAAGTGGCACTTGTTGCTGTGGGACTGTTACTATGGAGAAAAAAAAAAGACTAGCGTGATGTCTTTACTGGAGTGAGGCGGTGACCTGAGCAGGTGACAACTATTACAAGTCACAGTGTTTCACATAAAATACAAGAAGCTGTGGACAAACATGTCCATCGTGAATGAAAAGGACAGAATTAAAACTGATGTACAAACAAAGAAAATATAGTGCTCGAAAAAAAAAGATAAAAACAATAAAACACTTAAAGGCATACCTATCACACACATATTATGATAATAGTTTCATTTCTGTATTGGAACAAGAAGAGATTTTGTTTGTTTGTTTGTTGCTGTCAGACATGACTAGAGTGTTGTCAAGGGTTTGGAATGATTTAAAAACCTTGTCTTAAATAAATATGAACAACAATATTATATTTTATACATAGTTACAGAAATGATCTAATGTTGCTTAGGGCATTTTTTGGATTTGTGCACATGTGTGTGTGTTTTATAGGAAATATTAAATGATGTGTTAGATTACAAAAAAAAACATTAAAAGTAAAAATCTGCTAACTATGATTTTTTTTAATGCACAAACTCAAACATGCCAAAAAAAACCAAGACTGCAATTGCGTTGTAAAATGCTAAATTTAATTTAATTAATAAAAAATTATATGTAAGTTAACAATGCATGCTAGTCTGATTAATAACCAAATTGTCCCTAGCTGTGAGTGAGAGTGTGAAAGGTTGGTTGTCTTGTTTCAAAAGTGGATGTTTGGAACCACTTTGGCCATGACTGCTTCAAATGAGTCAATGGTGGAGAGGGCAGACTACAGAAATCATCTTATCACCATCAAACTGGTTGGCCCACTATGGGAAGGTGCTATTTATAAGACTGAGTTTGTTGTGGCTCTTCGGACTGATGAAGACTTTCGGATGAAAGACGAAACATTTCAACAACAAAAAAATCCCTCCAGAGGGCCTGACTTAACTTTGATGGATAATAGATGTGTGAGTATGGTATACATACACACATATATATATATATATATATATATATATATATATATATATATATATATGTATATATACTGTACCAGTCACGAGAACTCATTTTCAAGAGAGACCTATTTAGGGAGCAGATGGTGAAGGGCCTTGCTCAGGGGCCCAAAGTAGGGTGAATGAGGGTGGAGGCGTTTCACATTTTGATGTTGACGGTACCGGGAGTTAAACCTGCAACTTTCCAATCACGGGCCCATATTCTAACTTCTGCGCCACCACAACACAAACACCCGCAGGGAATTTCATTTATGGGCAGGGCCCAGTCAGGCAGCAGGAGGTAATTAATTTGATGTGGAGAGCATACATCACCTCAGCAGACACATTCTCTCCACACACCTGCAGATGCAAAAACACACATACACACACCTACTGTTTTCTATGTGATGTGTTTCCCAAGAGTCCAATTACATCCTTTCTGAGCTCTTCTGTCACACTGGAGAAAACCTGACAGGACAGACTAACATCCAGCATGTGAGATCACAGTCAGCTTAAAGAAATTTCCAAACTCAATAAAATGACCCACTTTAATCATGTGACACCATTTCGTTTTCCACAAGTGATTATGCTTGTGTTTGTGTGTTGCACATGCACACTCATGAGTCTCTGTGCCTGTGAATAGAACATTTCAAACAGAACAAAGACAGCAATGAGCACATCAAACCAGGCAGATCTTGATTAGGTTATGCAACCCCAAGGCTCACACCCTCAGTGTTGGAAGATACGTTTCAGGATAAAAGTAATCAGTACCATCATGCAGATTTCCATCACAAAAGATGTCCAGCTGGACCCCTGAAAGGGAGTACATTATCCTGACAATAGCGATGGACCAGGCCGTTTTATATGCAGGCCCGTTTTTCTCGCATCTAAAAACACTTCATTCATGTGAATCTCTTTGGTCTGATTCATTTAAGGACAGGCAGCAGTTCTGTAATGTACCAGGTAGGTTCTCCTACACCATTTATAATAAAATAAGTCTTGTCATTAATTAATTAAGTCATTGTTACTCTTATTGAGAGGTATGCTGGTGAAGATTCTCTAGGTCATGATCCCCCCACCCCCACCCCCCACACACAAAAAAGTATGTCAGAGCACAGAAGGTATGCCCCAGGTCTTCAGCTTCAGAAGAGAAGTCCATTTGTTTTTGGTTTTAACCTTTTTTGTGTGTCTTACTTAGAACCTATGTTGGGCAACCAGAACAAAACTAAAAGACCAAAGTTAAAGATAAAGCTGCATTATGATTGAAAAACATTAGGAGACACATTTCTTTAATTCGGATAAACATCAAAACCTGACTGGGCATTAAAACACATCAGATAAAGATGATAATGAGTGGTTATTACTTTGGTTCTACAAAAAGCACAAATGAAACATTTATAAATCAGTGGTGTGTATGAGTAAAGGGTAAAAGTAGAAATGTTGAAATATTCAAATAAAACCAAAGTCTGTGAAAAAGAGCAGAGGCAAAGGTCTGACAAAGAACTGGATTAATGTATTGTAAATTTCAAAGAAGGGGGAAAAAAAAGTGCTTCTGCATAAAATTGTCCAAAAAAAGGTGAGAAAAATAGGTAAATCTTTTAGTAGAACTTTGTATTGCTGTGTAACACAATTATTTGTAAAAAAAAATTAAAATAAACATTTTTTTAAATGTCTTTTTTTCAGTGTGGTCTCAAAGCAAATGGGAATAGCAACACAAATGAAATTAATGTAACATGGTTCAGTGAGAAGTGAAGCTTGTGTCTCAGAATGCTTTTGGCTTTTGCTGAATAGAAAAGGCAGAAGAATCAAGGAAACATATATTCACATGAATCATGAAGGCGGATGAAAATGTTTTTGTCCGTGTGTGTGTGTGAGTATGTGCATGTGTGTGTTGGCCTGCCATTATGAAAATATCTCTGTAACCACTGGCCAAATTTTACTGACACTTGCAGAAAGTCATTACTGCATATACATCTATAGTTAAATGTCATTTTGTAGTCACACTATCGGTTGGTTTTCTAATTATCTCTCAGATCGAAGGAGTTCAACAGAATGGTACTTCTTCCAGTTATTTAACTGTCAACAATAGTGTACCACAAGGCTCAGTCTTAGGACCCACTCTCTTTACAATATACAAGTCATTCCTGATCCATCCTTACGTTTCTATGCCGACAATACAGTTGTTTATTGACGAGCTAAATCATTTGCTAAGGTTTTCCATCTTTTACCGTCTGCATGCAGCATCATTCAGTCAGACTTGTTCCGTCTCAAACTGGTGCTAAATGCAGATAAAACCAAAGGGTTGTTGTTTTCAAACAAGAAGTTGGTCCCAGCAGTCCTTCCTTCTATCTTATCTACGAATTGTATTCCTATTGAGTTTGTGGATTCTTACAAATGCTTGGGAATCTTGGTCGATGCACATCTCTATTTTAAGCTGCATGTCTAAAACTTGATAAAGAAATTGAAATTAAAATGGGGTTTCTTTATCAGAAATAGATCTGGTACTCTGAATGTTAGGAAACACCTTGTAGCTGCTACTTATCTTCCGGCCATTGACTATGGCGACATTATTTACATGATTGCTCCTGCAAGCACCTTGCAGGTGTTGGATGCTGTATGTCACAGCACACTAACATTATTCTAACATATAATATTATAACACAGCACGTTACATTATTAGTGTTATTATTAGCTTATATTTTACTGTATATCTTAGATTCTTATATACTGTTTCTTTTCATACTCAATATTTTAGCTATTTCTGGGTGTAACTGGGACCCCCGAGTACATAATTTAGTTCCACCTCATGTACCACATGTGAAGCGAATGACAATAAACTTTAACTTGAACTAAGATGCATAACTGGTTGTAACTACCGTACCCATCACTGCATCCTGTATTCACTGGTCAATTGGTCATCATTAACTTCATGCAAACTCTCACACTGGTACATTTTCATCTTTAAATGACTTCTTGGTCTGCTGCCTTCATATATCTCCTCCTACATGTCACATCGTCAGTGCAGTTACAGCGTGCGTGCTCAAGATATCATCTGCAGCATCCCTTCAGTGCGGACTGATTTCGGCAAAAAGACCTTCTCGTACTCCACTCCTGTAACCTGGAACACCTTGCAAAAAGATGTGAAGCCGTCGACTTTGATCTCTCCAAGTGATTTTGAACAGTTTTTAAGTTCAATGCAAAAATTAATGCAGACTTGTTCCTGTTTCTAGTATTTTACCCCGTTTCATAATGTAGCTGTTTTTATTTTTTCAGATTACTACTTTTATTTAATTCAATTCAGTTCAACTCACTTTATTTATATAGTGCCAAGTCACAGCAGAAATCATCCCAGGGCACTGAACAGAAACATTTTTATATGCTTTTTATGACTGTTTATTATTGTGTGTTCCTCATCTGTGGGATTTTAGTTCAAAACAGATCTCTCTTGAAAATGAGTCCTTGTGACTCAATGAGATTAACCTGTAAAAACAAAGATTGAATAAATTTTAAAAATCCAATCTTGATCTAAAATTCCTGCATGAAAGTCACTGGGTAATATTCGTTCCTTTGAGGAATTCCAGGCCTCTACTTTTAGTTTTAATAGGCCAAACTAATTTCCCAACTTTAACCAGTTAGGGCATTACATGACATAAATCATGCAGATAGCAATACTTAACTTCAACAAAATAATAAGCTATTCAGAAAACAGCAAGGAAATAGCACTTGAAACTCCCAAACCTACACTTCAAATAAATTTCACTTTAAAACATTTCATGATGAGATCCGATTCAAACTCAGAAGTTCAAACTTTAGAATCGCACTCCCAACCTCTCAATATATGTAGCTTTTACATCTAATTAAATGTGCTATCTGCATTTATCTGTGGGCATTTAAATTAAGTGATGAGCGAGCAAGAATTCAATTTAGATGTTTGTTTTTGTGTTCACTAGCAGGACACAAATCAGTTTTCCCTGAGAAGACTGGGGGTGTTATTCAGCGCAGGAGGACCTGGGACTGAAAAGCAACGGCATACATGCTGCAACACGCAGGACTGGGTGCAACAAGGCAGAGCACAAGAGCTCAATTTACAACAAATACAGCTAAAAACACACTAACCCTCTGAAACTGAACACAGGAACTAGTGTGTTAAAGGTAAAGATATTGTAAATTTACCCTTAAGGAGAACCGAGATAGCAACACTCTATGGTCTCTGTGCTATAGTGTGGAGGGGGCATTTTTAGACAAAACGGTTATATTCTGATTAAAATTATAGAATATTACTAGAATTTTTAATGTAAAATATTCCTCCTATTAATGGTTTACTCATTAATGTCTATTATTAGTTTAAGTAAAATATCCAAAACAGTAAATAATGTAAACATATTAGGGATAAACGTGCACAGAAGGGCAATGATTCATATTTCAATGTCATGTTTAGAGTCACAAGCAATAAAGTTGATGAAAAACATCAAATTTAATAACCCGTTACCTGTGGAAGTGTTCTGACCAGAGTGGATGAAAATAAAGAACCTTTAAAGAAATGTTTTAGTGACACCTAGTGGTCAGAAGAAGAATTACAGCCAGGTGAAACTCTAGGAGAATCCTGAAGGGAGCTAAAAGTAAATAGTTTTTGACAACAAAAAACAAAAAACAAAAAACAAAAAAAGCCCAGTAAATAAAGATGAGGTGTGTATTTTATTGTTACAGAAATAGATCACAAGAAAGCAACTTCTCAAAACAGTTTCTATTTATATCCTTAGGTTATAAAATCACCTTATGTGGAGTAAATATGCTTTGTGTGGTTTAATAATGTCTTGGGGAGAAAAAAAAAAAAAAAAAAACAGAACAAACAACACAACTCAAATGTGAAACTATTAACTTACATATATACATGTGTATATCAAAACATACTCTTCAAAAAGAGGTATAACATATATATCAGAATTGGAATTTCACGCAGTGCCTTCATTTCTGTGATTTCCTACATGCTGGTGGACGGGACCTTTCATGTGATTGGCTCATCAAAAGATCAGGGAAATCTATGTGCATAGTCATAAGGAAGATGAGAACTACTGATGTTCTGTGGCATGAATGAAAGTCATTATTCTGATGGCGGTGTGCAACTGAACAGTGATGAACTACCCACGTACAATATTTCACATATCACAGGGTAAAAACTAGCCTCCAGGCGGCTGTCAGTGCTGTGAAGGGGTCTGCTCACTGGCATCTGGACCCTCGACTTCCACAGGCAGACGGCTGGGTGGGATGCCCACTGGAGGACAGACTTTTCTTATGGGGCTGAAACTGCGTGGAGACGATCCTGGGGAGTGAGCAGGAGAGCGAGCAGGGGAAGAAATGGGGCGTAGAGGAGAAGCAGGGAGTGACTGTGGGAGAGGCTGTGCCAGTGGAGAGGGGCTGCGGGGGTACCTGCGAGGGGCAGACCAGATTGGTCGCTCAGTTCTGTTGGAGGTAGGCGGGAAGACAGGAACATAAGTGGACGGGACAATAATTTCTGATTGGCTGGCAGCGTTGCCAGAACATTCCTCCAGACGCTCCAGAGTCTCCTGAAGAGAAGTGAAAATGAATGAATATCATCACTCGGGGCATGCTTATTGCCACGTGAGCAGTAAACAAATGTTATGCACAGAGAAAAGTTTATTAAGTAATTGTAATGAACTATTATTAAATTTCATTTGACATTGTTGTTACAGGCGACACAGTGGTTCAGTTGGTAGAGCTGCTGCCTCTCAGCGAGAAGGTTACCAGGATAAAATCCTGGTCCGGGGCCTTTCTGGGTGGAGTTTGCATGTTCTTTCCGTGCATGGGTTTTCTCCGGTTTCCTCCCACAGACCAAAAACATGCATGTTAAGCTGATTGGTAACTCTAAATTGTCCCTAGGTGTGAGTGAGAGAGTGAATGGTTGTTTTCCTCGTTTTTCTCTGTGTCCCTGTGATGGACTGGAGACCATCCAGGGTGTCCCCCACCTCTCACCCAGTGATGGCTGGACATGGGCACCAGCGACCCCATGACCCGAAAAGGAAAAAGCTAGATAATGAATAGATACATGGATCATTGTGACTCGCAGAATGAATTCTAACAGGTTTAGTGATCAATAATCCTTTTACCTGGATTATTGAGCATGAACTTTGATGTTTTGAACCACTTTGACCATGGCTGCCTCAGAGGAGTCAACAGGGGAGAGGGCGAACTCCAGGAACCATCTTATCACCATAAAACTGGTTGGTCAACTATGTGAGTGTGCTGCTTGTGGGACTGAGTTTGTTGTGGCTCCTCAGACTGATAAAAAGAAACCATCCAGAGGACCAGACTGAACTTTGTTGGAAGTATTTTAAGATTGACTATTTTTACTTTTGTCACACAAACAGAGACAAAATGACGATCTTGAGGGGACAGATCTTTATCTACCTCTCAAAGTTGTGAAATAAAAATAAACTTACTTGTAATAAATAGTCAAAAAGCAAACATTAAATGAATGAAAACAATAACACTTTCAAAACCAGCCCTGATGTCTGCAGCAAAACCAGTTGTATGAGGTGGTAGGGTCAACTTGTTACTGTTATGCCACTGAGCTGGCAAGGGCGGTAGTCACAGAGCTGAGTTGGTGAGTAAGAGTAAAGTGAGATATGGAGCCTGAACATTTGATTTTAATTACAGTAATACTTCTGAAGTCATTATGAATTCATTAAGAGCCAACTCACAGCCAGCAAGTTCAATTCCTGAAGATAATACTGTTGTGTTTTAATCTAGAATGCTAACTATACTATACATTTATCATCTAGATTAGTGGTTCCCAAAGTTAGGTTTCATATTCCACTGTGGGTCATAAAGCAACAATGAGGAGACTTGAGTTAAACACCTGAAAACAAAATATAAAGATAGCACATTTTCCCTTGTAAAGTAAATATTGATGTTGGGAATTAATCAAAGAATAGTTGTTTGTGCTGTCAATGAGTTATCAATTATATATTTATGGCTTACTTGCTATATTTAACCTTTAACCAGGCCTATGGGGTCACAAATTTCTTTTGATGTAATTTTGAAGGACAAACGCTGAAAAGTTTGGGAACTGCTGTTTAGGTGCTCCTCATCTCTGCTGTACATGTCAGAAATGACTCATCTGTGTGATAGCACGTCAGCATTTAACAGCTTTGCATTCAATTTATCTCAACGTTATTCTTTATGAAGCTATCATTTAAAGTTTTGTTTCCAAAATCATAGTTGCAAAATCAATGACATTTACTACCAGCTGTATTTTGTCCTTGCAACAACAACAAAAAAATAAATATTTGTTAAATTAATTTGGTGAATGTGACTCATGTACTGCTCAATGTTCAGAAGAACTTCTTGTTGTAGGCATGGCAACATTGTTTTTAGCTATCAGCTAATTTCCAAAAAGGCCCCAGAGTGTTGTTAAATAATCCCAGTCTTGTCCTTCACTGTAACATTACAAAATGTACATTTTGCAAATAAAAAAAAGCGACTTACATCTTCATTGAGAACATAAAGAGGCATCGGACTCCTTCGGCCAAGTGTTGTTGGTTTGGGCACAACATCAACTGCAGACCAAAGATTAAAGAACGTTTAGAATTGACTGAGATTTTGCAGAAAAATTAACATTGATATTATTCCTGCAGGATTGGAAATGTGTTTTAAAGTTAAATTACAATTAGATAAATAAAATAAATCAAAGTGTTCCTCACTGTCATGGCCATTTTCACTTTGCTCCACATAAACAGGAGCTCTCTGGGGGACAGGTCGGTGCTTCTTTCTACAACGAAATCACACAAAGTCCACTCCATTTCATCTTACAGCAAACATCAAGCTTCTTGTTCATTACATTCACGCTAAATGCCACGTTTCTTTTAAACAGTGGCCATGACTTCGAGTAGGGAGCTCCTTGAAAGTCTAGTCACATCATCCAGTACAACATTAAAGCCAGAAAAGGGGGAGAACAAGATGTAAGAAAGAAGAAAAGAAGGAAAAAAATAAAAAAAGAACAACTCTTACTTGGATGGTTTCCAACAAGCACAAACTGTCACCAGGGTGATCAGAAGGAAAATGCCCCCAGTGGACAGGATGATGTATAACGAGCTCCTTCCTAAACCAGAGAGGCAGGAAAGAAGAAAGAAGAAAAAAACTGACTTCATACACTATACCAGGGGCGAGTCTAGGGTCAGACCTTTAGGGGTGCTTAGCCCCCACTGAAAATGGCTCTTGGCTTAAACAACACACACCTTGGTGTGGTTTATGAGAAGTACAAAAGATTACTCAGTCAAGATTAATCATCCTGTCTTTTGCCTTTGACGAAGACAGTCATTCTTACCCTCCCTCTCTCCTGCTATTTTGCTCTCTTGTCCTGTCAACCTCAAAGCCTTCCTCTCTTTACACAGCTACTGAATTGAAAATTATTATGGATTTGGTCAGCTGGTCCCTCAACGCAATTGATACATTTTTGCCACTAGAAGATAGGGTGCTGGAGAGCCCTCCTGCCCTGAATGGACCCACACAGCTGGGTATGTCATTGATTCCTGGGGGGGAGTGGAAGATGATGTGCCTGACTGTGCTGTCCATGGAGGACGTATAAGATGTGTACATTATTGGATTTATGATAATAGGGTTTCTACTTTTTGTAATCAACGGATACCTTGGATATTGACAAATTAGGAAGACGTCAGCAGCAGTTTCGACCAGGATAAAGCTGCCAGCCTTATGTGAAGGATTAATCTGTGCCTCGAGCTTTCAAACTCATACGCGATTTCTGAGAATCGTAGGCCATTTGCGGCTCCTGGAACTCGCCAACATGAAGGATTCAGTCTTGAAGAATGCTAAATCAAGCACGGACCGGGCACTAATCTGGCTGTTTGGATTCACCATTGAGTATACCAGCAGAACTTGAAGGCAGACAGAAACCAGAGTCTGGTGGCCCAAACAATTGTTGTTGTTTATCTGAATTTGGCTTCCCCTTATTAGGCCCAAGTAGCGAAGCAATGCGAAGGCCTATTGTAATCGCTCTGTTCAGGCCCGAGCTACAATTTTTTCCACAAAATGAATTGGCGTTTTGGGGGCCTTAACATAACCCAAAAGTCACCAAATTTAACGGACGCATCAGGACTGGTGAAAAATTACGTATTTTAAGGGCGTGGCAAAAATCGCAACAGAAACGGCTCAAGAGCGCCACCTAGAAATTTTCAAAATACCCTCTGCATTAGCCTTAGTTTGTCGTAGAAACATGAAATTTGGTAAGATTGTCCTATCCGCCAAGATGCACAGAAAACCCTTTGGCACCAACGTTGAACGATTAAAAATAAGGCGGCCATTTTGGAATGCCGTCCCAATTTGCACACCTTTTTGACGGTTTACAGCCTCCGCATTTGAACAAACTCGTACTAGAGATTTCGCTCAATCGGTTTCAAACATGCCCATTTTGGTCAAAAGGCATGGGGGACGCAAAGTTATCTAAATCGTTCGTTTTGGAGCATGCTGAAGGGGCGGGGCCAGACCTCAAAGTTTGACATCTCGTCATGAAAAACGACATGCTAATAGCTCCTACAAGAAAACTGTCTGAGACATCAAACCTTCAGTGATTGATCCACATCCGGTCCCCTGCAAGACTGAATGGTCAAATCATGACATAACTTAAGCCACGCCCCCTGATAACAGGAAGTGTAAAGTTATACGTTGAACGATCCCTATCTGACCCCTGTTACCTGATCAGCATGATAGTGTGTCCAGTGACCGAAGACATATTGGTGTAACTTGCTTTCCAACAGTGACAGTTTTAGGTAGAGCATGTGGGTGGCGCGGCGTGGCGAAATAAGACGTAACGCCATCGCCATACGTTTGGCTCTAAATTCCAGTTTTGAACCGAGGTGCACCAAAATCAGTATGATCAATCATTATCCACCCCTTGAACAGGAAGCCATGATATGTGGTCAATAGCCTCCACAGCGCCCCCTAGAATATTTTAAAAACTCAACCCCAAGCCATTTTTGGACAGATAATTCTGAAACTCGGTGAACATCTGTATCTTCTCAGGACCTATAAAAAAGTCTCTTGGAGCCCTGGTCCTAAACCAACAGGAAGTCGGACATTTTGGGTCAAAGGATCATTTTTGGGTGTTTCTAATTGCAAATTTTAACAAACTCCTAGGAATTTTGAAGGATTGCCTTCAAACTTGGTTGATATGCCCGTAAGACATTGGAGAGTAAAAGTTATCTAAAGTTAGCATTTTTGTTTAGGCTAAAGGGGCGTGGCCAGGCCTCAAAATTTCACTTCACGCAATTAATTTCCAAACACTATAACTTTCACAATGAAAGACCGAAATGCACAAAACTTGGCATGACTCATCCCTGTTGGATGACCGACGATCCACTGTGATCATATTTTGACGTAATCAAAGCCCCACCCCCTCGGAACAAACGGGCGCGGGACGGTAGCGTGAGCGTTCTCGATGGCGACCGGAAAGAGTTGCTGGAGTTCCCGCTGTCGCCGTAAGGCCGCAGCGGCGCTTCGCTGCAAGGGCCTTCAACGCTGCTTGCAGCTTTAATCTCAAATTGCTCCTGGAGGATATGTAAATTAGAAGCTTTGCCTGCCCCCACCCCCCCACCCCAAGAGGGCATCTGTGGCCTTATCAGAACCATGATGCTGATAGACACTGTACAATCTTATCAGAACATTATAACTTCCTGGCGAGTTTATGGATAACTCACCGGCTTTGTCGACCTCTATGCATAAATATATTATGTAACATCCATTTTTGCATCCTTTATACTGTTTCCTGGCCAGGACAAGGTGTAAGACATGATTTTTTTGGCTTCCTCCATCCTTGTGTTCTCTTTTCTCATTTGCCTGTATGTTGTATGTAACAGGTCTCTCTTGTAAATGAGTCATTGAGACTCAATGGGAACTAACCTGTATGAATAAAGATCTAATAATTACAGCACCTGTTATTCCCAGGTGGCCTCCCATACGAGTACTAACCAGGCCCGACCATGCTTAGCTTCCAAAATCAGACGAGATCATATGTGTTCAGGGCGGTATGACCATAAACGAGGTGCTCAGTCACAAATAGGATCATAACAAACAAAGACTAAATTATGCAACCAGATGTTGCAACATATATCTAGATTAAAAAAGTGAAATAAAGCACAATGAGCTTTAAGTATTAATCTTTAATTTAACTATTAACCTCTGACATCAAAGCGTTTGTAATGCAAAGCCCCAACAATGTTGTTAGAGTAAAAGGGGGTGGAGCTCCTGCAGGTAAGGGGTGTATTCCTTCGGGACAAATTGAGGTCATCGATTGGTCCTTTCTTGACGAGCCTATTAGACTGATTGACAGGTGGCATTGAGAATCTGACTCGTGCAAAAAAAAAAAACAGAGTTTACTGATCCATTTATAAGTGTCATCATTTATTCCAAATTTATTCAATATTCTGGTTGATCTAAGATTTGAGATTTAAGCTTCTTTACAAAATCATAATGATGGCTTCTTAATTTTTCCAGGGCGCTGAGTTAAAAGTTAGGTGTGCTTGAACATCCCTAAAAAAGAGGCTAAAATCACCACTGCACTACATCTTCATTTTGAAATAGAACCTGCAAACATCATTACAAAAACTTTTTACTTGTCATTTCTCTTTGACAGTGCAGATCTTGGACAATTAGACCAAGACGTTTCTTTATTTCTTTATTATTTTACTAACATTGCTTGTCATTTTAAGAATGTACAAAGTACTTGTTTGAATAGGAATCAGTGACGTAGGACATTTGGACAACCACTTTGGGACTCAGTGCCACGCTGCTATGATGCAGAGGGAACAGGGAGCATGCCTGTATTTGTCTAATCATGCAGCACAGAACCGTACGGTAATAATGAAGTCAGAATTTTGAGGTCCACTGAGGCAAAACGTCCTCCCCACCTGCCCCCTTTTTTCTCTATCCACTTCAAAAACGACTGGCCTTTCACTGGAGTAAAGTGCTTCACCCTCTCTCTCAGCCTGACATGTGGCTCTATAGTGGCACCCAGAGACAGGCGCACGGAGACAACCCTCCTACAAAACACAGCCCGGATTTGCACTTGTTGTAAACAACATGGTTTGAGAGGCCAGCATGCTTGCATATTACTCAGCATGAGGCGATAATTGCTTCCACAAGCTTGTGGAAATGGATGGTTTGTGAACAATGTGCACAGTGTTCATAACAAGACACGCTCCCTGGTTTGTTAAAGGGAGAGCTCAGATTGTTTGAAGTGGCATCCTGGGGAAATATTATAGTTAAAATCTTCAGATACCTAGTTCTTTAAGAAAAAGGACTCAGTTTGGAGAAATGGAGTGTAATTCTGACTAAATTAATGAACTTATGGCTCCTTAGAGTAACGCCAACACAAAAGGGGGATTGCTTGCCATAAAAAGGCTCTAATTTCAAACATTTCATAGCAAAATATAAAAAGGGAAGAAAGAAAAGAAAACAACTAAATACTAACTACATTTTAACTAAAACGTTAAAAAAAAGAAGGTGTATATAGATACTTTTCCATAATTTACTTTTTAGCAGTATAGGTTTTATAGCATTTAAGGTAGTTTCAAAGTCTGACCTGTGGTTTCCCTCTGCTTTAAACCATCAGGCCACAGAGAGGCACAGGCCTGAAAGTAACAATAGGGTGAACGAAGAAAACAGGCATGGCTGTCATTAAAATATATATTAGCCCTTATTATTATTAACTTTTGGCTCACTTTAGTCACATTGTTATACATAATATATCTTCTGGACCTTTGAGATGCGTTTCTTTAAGTGGACCTCACAAGATTGTAACTGATAACAAAAGATCTACTGTAAGTCATCCCCGTGAGCTTAAATTCTTAGACCTAAACTACCAACGTAACCCAATACAACTATTGTTTATGATTACTCTGACTTGTAGATACTTGCACCTTCAATTTCTTCTTCTTTTGGTGCTCCACTCCATTTAAGAGACAAGTATTTTCGGTGTCTGAACATTGTACACAGGAGAAATGTATCTGAATCCTTTCTCTACCTCTCAACACCCAGAAGAAACTATTCAACCAGTTTGGTATTCGTAGTGTACATGCATATGACTTGAGCTCCAGTTGATGATGAATGCCACCTACTGTAGACTGTCAGATGAACAGGTGTGCTCTTCGTGCTGCTGATGGGGTTCTCCACAGTGCAGGCATATATGTCATCATCTGACATCACAACGCGTGAAATGGTCAGCACCTTTTGGTCATGTGAGAGCAGCAAGCGTGAGTCATTGGTCAGCACTTTCCCTCCTTTCAGCCAGCTGTAGACGGGCTTTGTGCCGTTATCGTGGGAACAGTGGAGGTTGAAGTACTCGCTGTACTCCAGGACCGAGGAGGCCATCATCTGGATGTAAGGTTTGGACACAGGAACTGAGGAGGATGACAGAATTAAGGTGTAATGAGCTTAACATTGAAACCGAAACATATGAGAGGCATGAAATAATGAGTGGCCTTACATTGAGGATGCACAACCTCTTGTCAAAATAATGTTCTCTTCAATTGTTGTATGCTTTTATTTTTCCCAAATAGTTCTACTTTAGCTCAGATATTCTGAGAATCCAGATTTTTATACGTCTGTCGAAAGGCAAATGTATTATGGTATAGGCTCTGTCTGTCTGTAAACTGCATCAAGCTTTATAGACATATGCATCGTCACTAGACAGACACTTTTAATCATTGCAGCTCTAAGGTCAAGATCACAAATCAAGATTAAAGCTTATACATGGTTTTTGCTTGTCTGGACCCTTGCTATAGATCGCTGTGTAATAGTTTGTAGACGGGTGTACAGTGTGCTGTATGTGGTATACTCTTGTCTGAAATGGGGTTCTGTGGAAAGGTTATGAAAGTTTAATATCTTCCATGTAAATAGCTCATTAAATGTCCTCAGCTTGGAGAAACAGTTTAAATTAGACTAGGTTGATGAGTTAATGGTTATAGTGAGGGCAACACCAAATGGATTGCTGTTATCCTAAAACAAGTTTGTTCTCAAAAATATAATGCAAACTTAAATATTCAACCTTTTATGTCACTGTCAGTTTTGAATTGCATAATGATACATGAAATATTTTTGACTAGCTGGATGTGGTAGCAGTGGCTAGTTATGACATGCAGGGTGTGCAGGGACACTTCTGTAAGGACTTTGATAAGACTTCCCCTGGAATAGCAGAACAATGCAGAATTGGTGGAAATGTAAAGGTGTAAAAAAATGGTATTCAAATAAATTATAT